TGTGTACTGTGTGTATTCTGTTTGTACTCTGTGTACTGTCTGTGTACTGTGTGTATTCTGTTTGTACTCTGTGTACTGTCTGTGTACTGTGTGTACCTGTGGTGTTGCAGCTCTGCAGCAGTCTTCTCAGTTCTCGGTGTATTCTGTGTGTACTCTGTGTGTACTCTCTGTGTACTGTATGTACTCTGTGTGAACTGTGCGTACTCTGTGTGAACTGTGTGTACTGTGTGTACTCTCTGTGTACCTGCAGCAGCCCTCTCAGCTCTAGGTGTATTCTGTGTGTACTCTGTGTGTACTCTGTGTGTACTCTCTGTGTACTGTGTGTACTCTGTGTGTACTCGGTGTGTACTCTGAGTACCTGCAGTGTTGCAGCTCTGCAGCAGTCCTCTCAGCTCCTGGTGTTGCAGTAGCAGCTCCATCATCCCGCCTCCTTCCTGCAGCGCTGCCAGGTGCAGCAGCGTGTTTCCGTGACGATCTGTCAGAGTCGGATCAGCACCGGCTAACAGCAGCGCCTCCACCGCRTCGTTCTGCTGCGTGATCACCGCCAGGTGCAGAGGAGTCTGGGAAACGAGGGAAATGTTTCAGTTCTTCCACAGTTTGGACAGAAAAACGTTTTAAATAAATAAAAACATTAAACAGTTAGAATTCAGCACCTGGTACAGGTGGTTCCTCAGGTTTAGCACCTCCCCTCCAGGCAGAACCGACACCACCTGGGTCAGACTCCTCAGCGCCTCCTGCTGGCTGTGCAGAACGGCCAGGTGCAGCCCGCTGTCAGGAGAGAGGAGCGTGAGCCTCACAGAGTCACAGTTAAACACCTGTCTGAAGGTGAGACTCACCTGTCTCCATCCTCATCCTGAGCCGTCATCAGGGGGCGCTGTGGAGCCAGCAGGTACGCTGAGTCACCTGTGACCGAGTACTGGAACAGAGAGTCCAGCTGCCTGCGGGTCTCCTCCGCCAGCTGCTCCTCTGCAACACACATTCACTAAACATGACTCAGCTAAACGTGACTCAGCTAAACGTGACTCAGCTAAACGTGACTGAAACATGACTCAGCTAAACGTGACTCAGCTAAACGTGACTGAAACATGACTCAGCTAAACGTGACTCAGCTAAACGTGACTCAGCTAACGTGACTAAGCTAAGTGACTCAGCTAAACATGATTCAGCTAAACGTGACTGAGCTAAAAGTGACTCAGCTAAACATGACTCAGCTAAACGTGACTCAGCTAAATGTGACTCAGCTAAACGTGACTCAGCTAAACGTGACTCAGCTAAACGTGACTCAGCTAAACATGACTGAGCTAAACGTGACTGAGCTAAACGTGACTCAGCTAAACATGATTCAGCTAAACGTGACTGAGCTAAATGTGACTCAGTTAAACATGATTCAGCTAAACGTGACTGAGCTAAACGTGACTGAGCTAAATGTGACTCAGCTAAACGTGACTCAGCTAAACATGACTCAGCTAAACGTGACTCAGCTAAACATGACTGAGCTAAATGTGACTGAGCTAAACATGACTGAGCTAAACGTGACTCAGCTAAACATGACTCAGCTAAACGTGACTGAGCTAAACATGACTGAGCTAAACGTGACTCAGCTAAACGTGACTCAGCTAAACGTGACTCAGCTAAACGTGACTGAACCAGACTCAAGTAAAACTTCAAAGTTTCTGCAGAACTGTTCTAGTGGATCAGATCTGGGTCATGTCTGCAGTAGAGAACCGTACGAACGGTTCTCTACAAACCTTCATCTGGTTCTGGTTCCACACCTCCTCCTCCTCCTCCCTCCTCGGTCTCCTCTGGTCCTCCTGGCTGAGCTGTAATCCCTGGTGTGAGCCCCGATGCTGAGTCATTGTCTGGATCATCGTCATCATCGTCCGCAGCYTCACTGTTTGAGGCTTCCACACAAAAAAGTGTTAACGATGAGTCAGCGTATTCATGGTAACGACAAGTCGGCATATTTATACTAACACTGAGTTAGTAAGTTTTGCTAAGGATGAGTCAGCATATTCATGCTAACAATACGTCAGTGTATTCATATTAACACTGATTTAGCATATTCTTACTATGAGGACCTATCCACGTCATCATTTACCCAGAATGCTTTGTGTGTAAATAAAATGGTCCCGTCCGTGTAATATATTTTTAAACTTTTACTTTTAAAATAATAAAAACTAAACCTCCAACAGTATTTTTACAGTCTTTATTTTACAGTTAAAATACATGTTTATCAGATAAAGTCTAATGTTACAACTGATCAGGGATCCCTTTAAAGACATTCAAAGCTGAAACTTGCTGAGGTGGTAGCTGAAAACTAACCGAACACGTTCTGAACACTAATCATAGGTTTAAGATAACCGCTAATGCTAATTTTAAATAAGGCTATAATTCAGCCTTTTTTAGACACACAAAGCTGAAAACTGGTATAGTAGTAGCCAGAAACAAGTTTTGACAAACTCTCAAAGCCTAAAGTTCAAGATGGCCGCCAGAGCTAAACAGAAGAATTGACCATAACTCTGCCATTTTTAGCCATATTGAGTTTGTTGTGTTGATGACAGCGATCTGCCACAAAACGTTCTTTCATAGTTCTCTAGAAACTATTTTTATTTAAGGATCTTTCATATAAGAGATGATTCCTCACCCTGCTTGATACCTCCTCCTCCCAGACCAGCTGAGTATCCTGTGGAGAAACCTCCTCCTCCTCCTCCTCCTCCTCCTCCTCCATAGTTGTAGGAGGTGTAGCCCTGATAATATCCTGAAAATAAAAACATTTTCATTCAAACACTCCAGCAGCTGATGTCAGAACTGTTGAGTTTTTATTTTTCATTCTCCTGACTTCACCTCCTCCTGATCCAGGACCGCCTCCGGTAGCTGGACCTCCTCCTCGGTACAGTCCTCCTCCTCCGCCTCCTCCTCCTCCTCCTCCTCCATGACCACTGAAGTCCTGGAAGTTTGGTAACGTCTTCTGTCGTTTCCTCTGCACCTCCTCCTTGTCTGAACACACAAACAATCCTGTCAGCAAAATAACCCTCAGAGGGCGGAGCCAGCTGATACACCTGTGATCAGAGGGCGGAGCCAGCTGATACTCCTGTGATCTGAGGGTGGAGCCACCTGTCTCACCTATGATCTGAGGGCGGAGACACCTGTCTCACCTATGATCTGAGGGCGGAGACACCTGTCTCACCTATGATCTGAGGGC